TCCCAAGTCCCAAGCCCAAGTTGCTTTCGTGGTTTGGAAATGTGGGTTTGTGGATTAAATCTCCTTTTGTGCAGCCACTCTGTAATACAAAAGATCCAGAAAAGGTTTGATTGCCTGTTAAGTCAAAATAAAATGCTTTATCTGCTGTAACTACTCTCAGGATGTGATAGTGTTGGCGTTCTCATGCTCCCTTTGGAAAGTGGGTTCTGGGGGCATGTACTCTGAGAACGGCGCTCTTCATCGTAGCAGCAGTGAATACATGCCGTTTATCACAAAAAATATATTTTCAGTGCTTTTCATCTGAGTTAATAAATACTTTGCTTAACTCAACTATTTATTTGTATGCACTTAGTCAAATTTGTAGTAGACTAAATTGTATATAAAAAGCAAAAAAGCCACATGAAGTACAGTTTACCTAGTAACAGCCTTGGTTTCTTTTAAATTAAGGTGTCTTTTAAATGAAAGACAAGGAATAAAAGAGCACAATCTCTGATGCAGATTAATTCTGAGCAATGTTAAAATAAATCTTTGTTCTTGCAGATACCAGGTAGTCAAACAGCAACAAGACTTTGGCTACAGCTCCACAATGCATTTTCTTTAGCAGACAGGCTGGTTTAAGACGTTCCCTCTATAACCTTCTTCTCAGGCACCTTCCCTGCACCCTTATGTGCAGGCAAAAACTGTTTATTCAGCTGTGCCGTGATTTTCATCACAGGAGCAAAGAATGGGTTGCAAATAATTTATAATTGCAAGGAATTGGATAATATTCATGGTTTAGCTTATGAAAGTGGCTCAAAACAGCCTTATGAGCACTTTGGGGAGGGGCTGTGACACAGAAATGGCAATGAGCAGGAGGGGCTGGGCACCGATAACTCCCGCATGGCTGGAAAGACATGTTGCAGAACTGGTCGGGGAGTGCTGGGGCGCTGCACGGAGCCAGCCTGGCAGTGCCTCGCAAAAGCTGAGCCTAAGTCTAACCTGAGCAGATATTTTTGCAGTGTATCAATATGATGCAAGCAATCTATGACTGCAGTGGTACTTATCTTCTCAAAGTGTGATGCAGTATATAGATGAAAGCAATAGTCCATATTATATAAACTGTATATTATATAAGCTTCGTCATTTACTTAAGATGTTTTAAACTGTTGCTGCTCCAAATTGCCTTTGTCATTCAAAAAAAAACTTTATAAATGCTGTAACCTGGTAGTTAATGTGTTGTTCTTCATGTATTATTTTATATAGGTGGATCAAAGATATCTGCTGTTCAAAAATGTATACTACTATGGAGAGAAAAATTCCAGCAATATTTTGTAGACTTCTGAGTTTATTTTGCTTGGGGACTTTAAATGATGTAAGAAAACGTGTGCAAACGCAGTTTCACAGTTTACTTAAAACAGCATTTTTGCTTTAAACAAACTGCATTCTAAGTATACTTTATTTTAACAATTATGTTTACAGTGGGCAATGCTGCTAAGTACTGTAGTGGTTTAGATGTTCAGAAATTTTAAATAATTCTATTAATACTTTGTGCCTACTGGAATATTTTCTGTCAAAAATCCCCCAGTACTTTATAGAAAGTAGGCTACAGGAATTAATTAATACACAATCAATAGACTGCCTACTGGAGGGAGCAAATAAGGCATCTATTCTGTGCCAGAAATATGCTTGACTGTCTGTCTGTTTGCTTTTTTTGTTTAAAGGAAGGTTGTATCTAGAAGAAAGAACAGTGAATACCCAAGCAGATCAACTGTACATACGGTGAGTTAATGCTTGGAATTTAAGAAAGACATTGCTTCTTCCTGTAGAGTGGGAGACAGGCTTTAAGAAAGTTCCTGTAATACAAATAACCTCTGAATTACCAGTTTTAGTCAGATATTACAAAAAAAAAAAAAAAGAAGAGGATTTAGACCTAATAAATGTAGAATCCTTATAATTAGAGATATTCTAAAAGGAAATATTTTCTTCCTAAAAATATGTATTACTTGTTACTACCTATGCAGGATGCTGTCAGAATCCTCTAATAATTCAGTTCAAAACTCCTGCATTTCAAGTACGTACACCTTGAATGTAGCAGAATAATGAGGAAGGCTGAATGCTATATTTGAATCATTTCTGCCGATATCATGAAGACTGCTAAGGGGTTCTGGTGCACTGTATTCATTCTTGCACATACAGCCGGATTCTCAGCTTCATTACAACCTGTGAACCGAAGCAGACTTACTTCAGGTAAAATGTAAGGCCTGATGGAACAATTAGCTCCTTTTAAATTCCTCGCTGAACTGATGTGGCTCTCCACTGGGCTGGAGTATATGTTTTAGGGAGACATCAGTTTTAGAGCAGACTTTGAAGAGCTTTTCTTCTGCTAATTATCCCATTTTGAGCAGTTCCTGTTTCCGTTACTTCGTCCAGCTGCCAGACTATTCCCGTATTTGCGAGTGTGACTGTCTTTCGAGTTGCATAGAGAATCAAACTGGGGAACTGATGTGGCTTTTTTCTTTTTCTAGGTTATTTTTACTTTGGATCAGTTCCCTAAAAGAGATCACTGCTCAGCTGTACAAACAGTTACATGCAGAACAGCGAGAACAGCATGGGAGTGAAGCGCGATAGCGGACAAGAGAGAAAAGGAAGGGCTTACCGTAGTAGCGCTGTTATCTGTAGCTGCTGTCTTCTACCTATTTTTCTCCTCTGTTCCATAGTTGGCAGAAGGGACTGCTTGTCTGTGCCTCACCAGCTGAGGCTGGTTCACAGTCTAGCATTTTAGTGTGAACTGACTTTCCCAGGCAATTAGAGCAAATATGCTAGACTGTGAAATGAAGCAGTTTGGTTGTGGAAATGTCCTCCGGCAGAGGGGATGGCAGGACAGCTGGGGGTAGCAATGCATTAAACCACTGCAGCTGTTTTCTTCATTGCCCTTAAGTCAGAGCTCTTTATTAAGTATAACACATGTTGAAGAATTTACTATGCTGCCAGGTAATTTGTTCCAATATTAACTTTCTTAGGAGTTCAAAATAAACCTCTTGTTTCTGATTTGAATTTTGCTGACATCTCCTTGTCACTGACCTTTTTATGTCAGTGCCTACTAGCTTCGACACTTAACTTTGAACTTCAGTAGGATTTTTGAAAGAATGTGGGCTAGAATTCAGGTGTTTTCTCCAGGCTACTTTATAAAGTACAGAAGACGATGGAAGTGCTAACTGAGGGTAAGAAGTTTTGGAGTGGAGCATTAAGCAAATACCAGCTACAGTATTTGTCTTTATGGGGAAGTTCGTAAATAGGAATTAAGACTCTAACATTGGGATGTTAAAGATTTGAAAAATATTATTTTTTTAGTGGATAACTGTCATAAGCATAAGATGAACAGAATATGCAAAATATTTTACTTCAAGTAGCATGGACAGAAGTTTATAGTGGATTACAACTTCATTGTGCTGCTAACTCAAAGAAGAAAACAGCTTGGGTAATCAGTCAAAATGCCTATGTTGAAAGATAGGCACATTTTTTATATCATTAGGCAAAAAGCATTTGTCCGAAGATGATAAAATGATTTCCTAAACAAAAATAGATTAATGCTAGCAAGCGTACTCTGACCGTGCATTTTAACATCTAATCTCAATTGATCTTGAGTAAAAATCTTGAACCTAATAAATGGAGCAATTAATAGAGGAAATAAATAGACTTGAATAGACATGTACCTACAAAGGAAACTTATTTGTATTGGTTGATTGAATCTGAACTATTGTCTTTGTAGACTTGGACACAATGAGAGCACAAATGTGGACTGCTTAAGATTTGCTTACAATTGACCATTAATGAGGTAATGATTACTTTCAAACCTTTTCTTTTGAACAGAATATTGTTGGCATTCCCTGTGTCCTCTAATATATAAAACTTTCTATTCTGACTCATAACTTAATTATCTATTTACTATCAACACATTATGTTTTTGAGTACATTCTAAATTTTGAAGCGCATACCAGAAAAGCTAGTAGACATTGTGTCTCTCAAATCAAGGACTGGAGGGCTTGTACCCCAAATTAATCAGCCTCTCTGAATGTTTACTAATATTTGGATCAAATCTCAGACAAGAGCTACTAATGATTCGTATACGTTAATATCATTTATCTGACAGTATTAAAATATGATTGTTGATGTAAATATGTTTAAATAAAAGTTTCAGTGGTTACAAAGAGCCGCTTTGCTGTGGCATGAATTCAAGCTATTGATGAAAGGGGTTGGACTGTCCCTAAGCTAACTCAGACCGAACAGAATTAAGATTAATTTTCAGCTGATTCAGATCATTGATCCAATTCTTTATACAGCAACAGAACCAGTTGTGCCAACCCAAGGAAGAAGACAGGGACCAACAGCAAGAGCAAGGAAAGAAGCTGAGACCATCTGTTTCTGCAACAGCATGGTTTTATGTGAGATTAAAGTGACCATAGAACCACAGCCCTAGAAATGAAGCCTGCTGGCTAGAAGAGGCGGTTTCCTCAAATAAATTAATGATTTGTTTTTAACAAGTTAAGCCACAAGGGAACCCTTACCAGGTTTTGTCTGCTTTTGGACAAGAGAGACGCTCCACCTATTCATGCACTAGGCATTAGCATTTATAAGAATTTGGATGTGATAGGAAACAATCTTTTAAGATAAAATTAAAATTAACCCACTGATTAAAGCAGAGTTTGCAGAAATTTGCAGGAGGGGGAGGAAATAGGTTTAGGTCTAAAGGTTGCATTTGTCCCCTTCATTCTCTTTCATAAAGACAAACCTAAGGAAGTAGGGTTGGTATTCCCAGGCACATCTCTGAGGAAGCATCTCGACAGCTAGGCGATGTTGGAGAGAGAGAAACCTCTAAATTTATGTAGACTTTATTTTAGGAAATTAGGGTGGCTTTATTTTAAATTGTTGTCATGTTATATATCATGCAAATACATTTAGTAAAGGTAATTACAAGCCAGAGTAACTGGCAAATACCAAGGCAATCCATTTCTACTGGCACTGTAATCTTTAAAACTGTGGTACTGCCAAGGATTGAGTATCCAAAGAATAAGAGCACTAACCCAGGGGGCTGTGCTAGGCAGGCTGGGAGCTGGTAAAGCTGCTGTAGAAAGACAAGTCTTGTGATTATTAACATTAGAAGTCTTGTGATTATTAGCGTTAGCCAGAGGCTCCAGGCATAGAACACAATGGTGAAGAGAGTGTGTGAACCCAGAGAATTTCCCAGGAAGTCGCTTACAATAGCATTCCATTTAAATCACTTTGTGGGTGCAGTTGCTCCAAATAACTATGTAACAGTCAATTCCAGCACCATTGCTGAGTTAATGTTTAGCTTTTGTTTAAGTAAACCTGTATTACTTGTTCAAATAACATAGACTTTCATTAAAAAAAGGATAAAATTATTTATTTATTATATTTATAATGTGCACATTACACTGGGTATCTTGAAGAATTGAGACTGCTCTGGGGTTTTCCATTCTGTTTGTTAGTCTCATATTTTCATCCAGTATATGTCTAGAATTCCTGGACATCTCAGCACATGTAACAACTCTCGAGTTCTTCTGAGTTTTATTTATTATGTAATAAGCACTTAGTTGTCATAGAACTGAAGGTGAAAGTGAGAAGGTGCTGTAAAACCACACTTACCTTTAACATGATGATCAACAACCACTGCTTCTGTAAAACCAGCTGCTGATTTCTCTGTTTAAAAAAAACCCGTATCACTGAAATGACAGCACTCAATGTTGATACAACTGGTGGGAAACTTAATTATTAACAGGTAGTAATAAATCAGCATAACTTTTATTGCTTTGCCATCAACATACACCAATGTTTTGGCACTAGCATACAAAAATGGATAACACAAACTGCAGGATGGAAAGGCATGCGTGAGTGGTGAGGCTGTACAGTAAATGATGTATCAGTATGATTTATGTTCCTCCTCTGCTGTGTTTCTTTCTGCCTCTGCCCCTGGTCTTTAGAAAGTCCTTCAGGTTTTGCACGCCCACTGAAGGCCGCGTCAGCACATGTTCCCCCTCCTCTGCTGCTATTCTGGCTTACTTGGCCGAGCTTTACCTGGGAGTTACATCTCCCAAGGCTTAATCTGAGACTCTGCGTTTAACAGCTAGCTGAAAAAGGCTGAAATGGCCTTACTTCTTAGCATTTAGCTAAGGCTGCATGCAAAGAGTACATAAAGAATAACTAAGTACTTCAGTGCTGGAACAAAGCACCTGCTCTCACAGACGATTAAAATCTCATGCCCTAAGTGAAAAACATATCCCCTAATGAACATATGCCAGGGACTGTTTGGATGGAGACGTAACAGGAATGAAACATTTAGATCCTTGCCTGCCATATGGGAGACCCACGTTTCATGATTGCTCCCTGCCTGTCATTCCAAGGGCTGGCAGAGAGCACTCGATAAAGTAATTACTTGAGATTATTCAGCAAAATGTTTAAATGTTTGCTCTGCAGTCCCTTCTTGTGCCTCCTTTCCGTTGCATGGCCGTAATGTAGCTAGACTTGTGCAAACCACTGAACTGTAGAGGGAGGTGATGCAGAAAGCACAGCCATCTGGGCCTGCCTGAATAGGAAGAGAAGAAAACACCCTTACTGCAAGAGTCGCTGGCTGTTATTAAGGCCAGGATGGCTTTTACAGGAGTGCCAAATCTTGCTAATTAATTTTCAGGTTTCTACTTCAGAGTGAGTCTGGCAGTGATTATATTATTCCAAAAGTTGTCGCAGACTGTTCTTGAATCTTAAAGTGCAAGGCTCTCTAAATTCTGTAGAGTTGTAATGCTTTGTGACCTCCTAACATTTGGTTTCCAGATACACGTCTTTCTTCGAGAGTAATCCCTACCAGAAAACCATAACTTACTCTTACACTAGCATTTTTGTGACCTTTCTTTTCATCTGAGCAGCCATTTTTGGTAAGCGTACAGAACAACAAAAGCCGTAACGTGTTTCATTCAGCTCCTTGTTGTTTCTGTCCACACACAGGGGCCAAATCAGTTTGCCCAAAGTTTCACAGCCAAAGAGCATCAAAGCAGGAGACTCCTAGCTTCTGACTCTGACTCTACTAAACACATTGTATTAAAATAATCACAATCACATCATAAACACATGAAGACAGAACAAAATTGAATGTTAATCTTTATGTTAAAAAGGACAATTTTACTAGAAATTAGCAATGTTCCCACTAGTATCAATTGGACTGGGACTTCTCAGGAGTGTGTGAAGCGTTCAGAGATCCGGTGGTGAAGGAGTGATGGATAACTCCTTCCTGTTTTACGGGATGGATGTCCCTCATCTGTGTAGATGCTACATCAGTCCTTGTCTGCTTTTCTGTCTGTGCTGGATTACTGAAGAGGAATAGTGCTTTGGACCACAGAAGGACACGGTAGATGCAAATGTTCACAGTGAGACCCAAGGCGTTTGCTGAGCCCACGGTGAGCTAACTCACTGCTGGTTACCCAGCAGCCTGCCCCAATTTGGCTGCGGTTACCGGTGATATCACAGACTGTTGCTATGACAAATGTGATCGTGAAAGTGCCATGTTTTTTTCTTCCGGCAGTAAACCTGCTATCGTTACTGCTGTTGAACATCGCGTTAGTATTGCAGAAGTGCTGGAATGAGAACAAAACACACATCTGCTTTCCA